CCTGAGTTTAGCCCACGGAGGGCTCCTGTCCCCGAGTTTAGCCCAGAAAGGGCTCCAGTCCTCGAGTCTAGCCCAGAGAGGGCTCCAGTCCCCGAGTTTAGCCTAGAGAGGGTCCCAGTCCCCCCATGGCTCCCCGAGCTCTTTGTTCCACCATGGCCTCCTGAACTCTCTGCTCCGCCATGGCCTCCTAGTATGCCTGCTCCGCCGTGGCCTCCTAGTCTGCCTGCTCCACCATGGCCTCCTAGTCTGCCTGCTCCGCCATGGCTTCCTAGTCTGCCTGCTCCGCCATGGCTTCCTAGTCTGCCGTTAAATTAATTAATTAGTTATGAAAAAATAAAATATTTTAACGCAGTTAACGCACAGGCCCCGCCCCCAGACCTGTACGTCATCTTGCATTTCATACAGATGACTGTTGACAAATATGATGCAGGGCAACATCTCCATAAATACAGTTATGCCCTAAAAATCAAGATATTGGGACAAAAATGCCTCTGTGTGAGTTTTTGTCTCATATTTATATCATATGATAAGCGATATCACACGAGCAGCGAGGGCGATATCACACAAGTGCTGTTTTTGTCACGAAGAACACGAGTGCAAATGTGATTTTATACAACATTTCAGTAAATAAGAAGTTAAAGGGCACCTATTATGCCCCTTTTTACAAGATGTAATATTGGTCTTGGGTGTCCCCAGAATGTGTCTGTGAAGTTTTATCCCAAAATACCCAACAGATCATTTATTATAACAGCTGGAAAATGTCATTTTTGGGGTGTGTTTAAAAAAAGAGCTGTTTTGGAGCGTATCTCTTTAAATGCAAATGAGCTGCATATTCCCACCCCGTCTCCAGAAGAGGGCGTCTTGTATACATCTCTGCATTGCATACATATACCTAGAAACAGCTGGTAGAAGCAACATAACTGAGAGCGAGAGAACCGGTGTTTAGCCGTACATATGGGAAGCCAAATGTACTGAAAGTGGGACAAAACAGTGCGATGTAACAGAGCTCACGCCGCGCTGACCTGTCATCGGCGCGGATCAATTGACCGAGCCACGCGACCGCGCTACTGAACGAATCTCGCGCTACGAACGGCGCCATCTCACAATCGCAGCACAGATCAGTAAAAAAATACTTAATGTACGCAAATACGTTTAAAACGCTAAGCACTATAACGACATGACATTCACAAAAGAGTCTGGAGTGATACACGTATTTAGGTAGATTTTGAGGCACATTACCTTGAAAAATTAAAATGAAAGTAATCCACAGCGTCCTCAGCAGCTCAGATGTTGGGAGAAAATTAAGACTCTTATGTTCAGTCTTACATCCAAACACAGAGCATTGGGATTGCTTGCGAGACATTGTTGACTTTACAGCTGCTCGAGCACGGAGAAAATGGAGAACAGCATACAACCGCTGAAGGCGGAAACTATAGCAATGCAGAGTTGTCAATCAACCCCCGTGGCCCAGCCTTATGCAATGTGACGTCACACTGCATGAGAATCAAAACGGCAGGCCTAGTGAGACTGACTTGGTTTAAAGGGGATTAAAAAATGAGGAGTGGGTGGATTTTTATCATTGTAGGGTGGTTGTGTTCACACACTGCCAACACACATATACGTCCAAACACCATGTAAAAGTGGATTTTGCATAATAGGTTAATATTGTGCTATATTTTAAACACAATTTTGTGTGTTTTTGTTCAATTTTGCCAACAAAAATATTGCCTAAAAGCCACAGCAGAATTGTTGTGCGTCTCTGAGCAACACAGCGGTGTTTAGTTTCTGAATGAATCCAATTTGAACGAATCGTGTGAACCAATGATTCAGTAGCCCATTAGGGGCTTTCGCATCACGTAGTTCTAGGAACTAGCCAGCAGGGGGGTTCCTAGAGAACCAATTTCTCTCTCGGGCCGTTTTCCTGGTTGCATTCGCACCGGCAGCAGGAACTTTGAAGCGGCCAACAGAGAAGTCTTTATGCACGGCATTTACATACGTCAACAACCGGTGAATGGAGGATGCCATGATCGGAGCTATTATGTATATTATTATACATAATAAATATAATAAACAACAAAATGTTCATTTCTGGGTGAACTAATCCTTTAATGCAAAAATCTTAACACAAAACTTGACAATCATCAATATTTTTTCCTTAAGATAAAACAGAAATGACAAAAAAGCTTTTGCTAATGTCCAATACTTTCAACTGAATGTTGTTTTGATATGTTGTGATTGAGTGTTGTTGTTTGCCTGCAGTCACGGAGATGCTGGTAAATGTGTTGAGCATCTGTTCTGATGATGAGCTGATAAATGATGGAGACGAGATCTTTGACGGTGAGACATCTTCACTCGTTTGCTCCACAGTGTCCTTTATATTGCATGTAGAAGATGAATGTAATTTATGAGTTCCCCAGCATGAAACATGATTATGATTTCTCGACAGAAAGGGCCTTTTCTTTGACGTCAGGTACATCCTGAATTATGACTCATTGTTCTTTCAGTATATTTCCTGTTAAGTAGCACTCTTGTGATACTGTGCTTGTAATAGCCCTTAAGTTTGTCCTAGTACTTGACTTTGCTAGCCGCTAACGTAACTACTGTACCAGTATTGGGGAGACTAGTTTAAAACCAAAGTTTTTCAAGCTACAAGCTACTTATCATTTAAAGAAATGTAAACTACAACTACAAGCTGTAGTTATTCTTTAGCAATATTGTTTAGTTTAACAGAAGCAGTATTTTTCTGACTCAAAAAACAGTGAGGGTTTTGTGTGAATGAATCCAATTCATGCTAAACACTTTATACAGTGTAACAATGTGAGTGAAAAAGTAGCTTGTAAAAAAATACTTTGAAAAAATAGTTAGTAGTGTCGCTTCTTTAGGTTAGTTGCTCCCAAAACTGCCGCCAACACAATACACATAATTTCTGTAAGAATATAAAAGTTTCTGGGGGTTTTTAGCCTCTGGTTATACTGAGACTGCTTGATTTTTTCTTTCCGCCCACAGCCAATGCAGCAGCTGCCCGAAAAGAGGTGATTAGGAACAAGATCCGTGCCATTGGGAAGATGGCCAAGATGTTCTCCGTGCTCAGGTACAAATGGAGTCATTCAGTCTGCGGTCAGCTGGGTCACATGCTTATGAGACCACTTTGCTTATCAGGTAGATAGATAGAGGAGAGGCTTCTTAAAATCAAGATATGGCTGATATTCAGTGCAACACAAAACTTTGATGCAAGAAACTATTTTAAAGGTACAGAAGGTATTTTAAAGAGAGTATTTCAAAAGGAATAGCATGGAATTCTGGGCTCTCTATTGACACTGTGGTTGTAACATAAAATTGCAAGTTTTATGTGGAGAGTATCTTTGGGAGACGTCTTTCCTAAAATATAAGGGTAGCGTTTTTTTTTTTTGCTATATATAGTCATTTATACTATGTGAGAAAACCAGTAAAAGTTAGATTATTAAGAAAACATTCATTAAAGGGATAGTTCATCCAAAAATTCTGTCATTAATTACTCACCCTCATGTCGTTCCAAAGCCGTAAGACCTTCGTTCATCTTCAGAACACAAATGAAGATATTTTTGATGAAATCTGAGAGCTTTCTGACCATCGTTAAAATAGTCCATGTGACATCAGTGGTTCAACCTTAATTTTATGAAGCTACAAGAATACAGTTGGCACGCGTTCACAAGAGTACTCTCGTGAACATGCATCGAAGACTGACATGGAGAAGCAGAAATTGTAGAATAAAGTTGTTATTTTTGTTTTCTTTGTGCACAAAAAGTATTCTTGCATAAAATTACAGTTGAACCGCTGATGTCATATGGACTATTTTAACAATGTCCTTACTACCTTTCTGGGCCTTGAACGTGTCAGTTCCATTGCTGTATATGCAGGGTTAGAAAGCTCTCGGATTTCATCAAAAATGTGTGTTCCGAAGATAAACAAAGCTCTTACGGGATTGAAACAACATGAGGGTGAGTAATTAATGACAGAATTGTCATTTTTGGGTGAACTATCCCTTTAAATTACCAATGTACTAAAGCCAAATATGAGCACGTATATATTTATTATTATTTTTCTTTCTTTTTTCTTTATATCATGTTTTTTGTCCAGCCTTTGGAATGCAGAATGAGTCTCTAATAATGTAAATTTCAGTAAATATTACCTTTTTCTCCGAAATTTTCGACAGACCCCAGTTTTTTACATTTTTTTTAATGTACTAAATATAAAGTTTGTATAACTCGAGACATTTTCATATGTACTCTACCATGCAAAATTTTGGAGTCTTTAAGTCATTAAAGGGGTCATATGATGCTGCTAAAAAGAACAGTATTTTGTGTATTTGGTGTAATGAAATGTGTTTATGCGGTTTAAGGTTAAAAAAACACATTATTTTCCACATACTGTACATTATTGTTTCTCCTCTATGCCCCGCCTTTCTGAAACGCGTCGATTTTTACAAAGCTCATCAGTCTGAAAAAGCGAGGTGTGCTCTGATTGGCCAGCTACCCATTGCGTTATGATTGGCCGAATACCTCAAGCCGTGAGACAGAAATGTTACGCCCCTTACCATACTGTGATGCCATGTGTGCGCCGGTGATGCGCATGCGCCTGTGATGCGCGACGAGACAAAACCAGTAAAACCCATTATAAACGAGGCATTCATGGCATCCAGTGGGGACATAATTATGGATTATAATGACTTATACTGTATTTTTAC